ACTTATTATTATTCCACATCTTTCCTTGTTAATATTATAAGTTATTTTCTTATATAACCATTAAAGGGAGTATGGACTCTTTTCTCCAGTCATAAAAATGTATTTCTGCAGAGCAGTATAGGCCAGAATTTCACAATGTGATTTTCAAACTTGCCCTTACCTTCTAGGTATCCATTCTGAGGCATTTCAGATGTTCAGAAAGTGCTAGGCAGCAACCCTCTGGCACATCCTAGCAACAATGACAAAATATTAGACACTTGGATATCTGATCCTCCATAGGTTTTGCACCTTATTTAGCTGACGACAGTGCTAAGTGTCTTCAGTGCAATTTCCCCCTGTAAAGGAGTACAATTGCACAATCTGTCCCATTGTCCTTGTTAAAGAACAGAAAATCTGTTGATAGCATACAAGCCAGAATGGGTTGCTGTCTGGGTTGTGTATTGCAAAATAGGATAGAAAAAATAAAACCCTATAGCCACTAAAATAATCAGATCAGTGTACATGTGATTCAGATCAGAATGCTCACAAAGAGCAGGACCATTCAGTAAGAAGGTGCTGTTTTATTACAGAGACCCTAATCCTGTTCCTTTTTTAGTCAACAGAGACTTTGTTTATTGACTTTGATAGGAAAAGGATCAGCCACAAAGTTTCTTTTGTTATAGTAACCAAGACCAGCAGTTATATTAAGGATTGACAGAATTTCTTTTTGCATAAAAGGGACCCGATGAGGGGACCTGAAGATCTCATCAGTGAGAAAATCTTACCAGTCAATAGAGTTATAATGTTGTTTTTCTTATATTTTTGAAAAACCTGTACCATTGTTGTTGGAATTCATATTGTGATATAACTACTCTGAGCCTCCAGATTCAATTGCCCAAAAAGCTTATGGGCCAGACTCTGATCTCACTTATGTTGCTGTAAACCCAGATTAACTCCACTGTGCTCACTGAAATTCCTCCAGAATCGCACAGATGGAACTGAGATAATCTAACTCTTTGTGTGTTGTAATCATTTCAAAATGAAGAACCCTTTCTAATAGGTCAAAATCTTTTGCTGCGATACCAACATTTTTGCTAATAGATAGCTATATGAAATCTAATTCAGATATTTACAAATGTATAACAATACCAGACATTGCCTGGAAGATATTTTTAACTGTTGAAAATTAAGTTAGTAGTGACATTATAGAATGGTATATTAAAACTTTTGTTTTCTGAATTTATTCCAGGATTTATAATAACTTGCCTGAAGTGAAAAAGAAACAAGAAGAAAAACAGAAACAGGTGATCATACAGAGTAACAGGCTACGGGTTGAGGTTTTCAAAAAGGTAATGGTTTCACTAGGAATATGTATAATTTGCTTTAAACTTTTATCTACTGTATGAAGAGACTGCCTCTGGCTCCATACACCCTAAGAAAATCCACTTACTTATCTCTTTTACCAAGTTCTATAGTTACTGTTACAGTCTCAGAATATCCCACGAGTTTTAATGTGTTTATCCTTACAATACTCCTGTGAGGTAGAAAAGTGGTGTTTAGCCCAATTGTACAGAGCAGGAACTGAAGCAAAGCCCTGATCTACAGAGTGACTTGGCTATCATGATGTTCAGTAGTGCTGAACCTACCTTTTGGCTGCTTGGTCCCTGTAGCAGAATTGACACTCCAGCTAGGCTCCTTTTGCAATGACAAGGGTTAAAGGCCTCAGAATGGAAACCACAAAAGTGACAGTGAGTGGACAGCCATCTGAGTTAGGACATACTTGGCACATCTGCATGAGATGCTTCGCTGCAGAGTAGACTAATCTGTCGTGCAGTACTGGGTCACCATGTAACTGTGCGCAGCAGCCACTGCATAGTAAATTAAGCTAATGTGGGGTTTTCAATACCTGTAAATATAGGTAATAGATTAACTGGACATTAGCTATTGCACAGTACTGCTTATGTAGACCCTGATGGGGAGCAAATTTGCTCCCAATCTGCCAAACCAGCAAAGGGCCATGGGGAACGAGGCAATTCTCTGTCCCCAGTCCTGGCACTGCTAAGCTCCTGGCTTCTCCCTACTGCATGGGGAAGCCCTGCTGGACACTGGGCTTGCTGGCAGCTGTGTCCCAAACTGCACGGGACTAGGAGAGCTCTGGCAGCTGTAGTGGCAGCTATCTCCCAACCCCATGCATATCAGGACCCCTCCCAATGTGCATGGAGCCAGTAGACAGCTGCCCCTGGGCAGAACATGCAGGCAGTGGATCATGGCTCTGCCTGGGCTCTAGACCAGGGGTGGGCAGTTATTTTGGGTGATGGGCCACTTA